CCATCTTAATAGAAGTGAGGATGTTCTAGCTGGGAAAGCTAGATGAGTAGTAATACCATTACTATGGGAGGAGAAACAAGTGAAGGACCGAGAGTGAAATCAGTGTAGATAATTATTAATTCATTCAGCAAATTTAAATGTTTGCATTTTTCAAAAGGGTTTGAGCTTCAAAACATTTACATTTCATTTTAAGGAAGACGGCTTTAAAAATAGACTTTCATTTTTCTGCAGTAAGCCAGATAAACTTAGTTTAATTATTAGCTTTGGAAACTAAAGTCTATATAGAAGTATGTTTTGTAAAGACTATTTTCTCTTTTCTAACATTTCATATGATAAATCAGGATGCATTGCTCCACTTTTCCACACTGGCAATGAATTTTACCCTTTCTCTCTCTCTCTCTGCCTCTCAGTCTCAGAGAGAGAGATCTAAGATACACCTCTATCTGTATGACTGATGAGAAATCAAATATCTAAAGCAAACTCTAAGAGATATTGGAAGCGGTTGTGTTTTGCTCCATTAGGATGGCATTTTCTAACAAGACAGAAACGCAGATGGAGGGAAAGCTCCCTGAAGGCAGCCTTTAAGTAAGACTCGTTTAAAATCATGTAGCACAGTGCTTTACACTTAATAAGCATCTGAATAAATGTTCTTTGAATAAGTTACAAATAAACATGCTCCTCTTTTAAACTGCCAAATAAATTTCCACAAACTCCATTCCTAACGTGTGCTTAGCCTCAAACTCCATGTTAGGTCAAAAAAAAAGCATCCATTCCTTTGGTAAGTTATTCGATTGTGTTCATACTACTACCGTCATTCCATGGTATCCAGTGACACCAAAATCCCCAGACGGTCAGAGTCCCTTTTATAAAACAGCAGAGTACATTGAATACTGTTGGCCTTTGGTGTCTGTGGGCTTCCCATCTACAGATTCAAGCAAATTTTCATTCGTTGAATCCCCAAATGTGAGGCGAACAGATACAGAAGCCAAATGTACTGATAAAAGTCTGTTAAGCATGACCTTTTGCTACTATTTCAACCAATGTTCCTAAAGCCTGATGACTTATACCATAAAAAAGCAAAATTCTAATATAGATATACATTCTAATATGTTATACATATTAAATTCTAATATATATATATTCATTCATCAAAATGATTTGTCACTTTGCCATGGAAGCATATCAGACAAAATTAGCTATTAGACAAAATTATTTTTACCACCTTCTAACAGGTATCATACAGAATGTGATTATCTTCAAAACTTTTATAATTATTTCTTTTTTCCTGTAAGTAGTTAGTAAACACTTATTATCTTCAGAGCATTTTCTTGAAACTTTCATCTCTTCTCATTATTGTTCTAGTTTTGTATTTTATCAAGAACGCACATTCTAAGTGAAAAAAAAAAAAAACCCCACAACTGTTTAATGTAGCTACAAGCCTGCCTACCCAAACTCAAGTCAAGGTCCTACGCACAACCTCTGAAGTGTGTATCTATTTTTATTCAATTAAAAGCATAAGCGTTTTTAAAATCAGGCTATGAAATGCATGGGGTTTCATCCAATTAATTTTTAATTGTGCTCCAGACACCCAAATTCAATATACCTTTTTGCAGAAAAAGCCATTTCAAAACAGTTGCTCTTTCCTTTTCCTCTCTTCGCGGAGTGGAGCTGTCTGTGGATGCTTCTTCCCAGTGAATCGCTCTTAAGCATTTAATGCTAATGCTTCCCAACTACCGTTAATTAAGCGTTACTCTTGTGATTTTATAAGGCAATGATACATCATTTAAGTATCTAACACTGAAGTGCTGTCCTAGGTCCTAATGTAGCAAATGCAGAAACGTCTCATTCCCCTGAAAAAAACAGAAACAAAAAACAAAACAGAAACATCTGTCTTAATGGGTCTTTGTTATGAGAAGTTCTATTTGCCAAAAACACAAAATGGCAGAGAAAGCTTCACACAATGGCTACTTATCCAAACCAACCTGTATACTTACCTGTCTAGACTGGGTCGTCAAGTCCCCTCGTCTCCCTCTGCCACACTCCGGTGACAAAGACCCAGGCCTCTCTCCACCCCCGACACACACAATTCCTGACATAGGTCAATTAGGAGTCTTCCACTCAGGATCCATCTTACCCTTCCACACTCAGCTGAAACATCTCCTCTTCCCTCAAGCCACCTGGACACTCCAGAAGCCTTCTGTTGCAGGTGAAGTTAATTACCCCCTCCTCTCTCCCACCTCACTACAGTTATGTAGCTCTAGTTTTTCAGTCGCTAAGTCATGTCCGACTCTTTAAGACCCCATGGACTGCAGCACACCAGGCTTCCCTGTCCTCCACTGTCTCCTGCAGTTTGCTCAAGTTCACATCCACTGAGTCGGTGATGCCATCCAACCCTCACGGCGGCCGAGGATGAAATGTAGCTCTAGTACCGCTCTGTATTTAAATTACCCTCATAAATGACTGACTACTAAGTGAGAGTGTGAACTGCCTGTAGGCAGGCTCTACTGATTTCCTGATATCTGCGTCTATGTAGCTGAGGTAGGCAGAATTTGGGGTTTCCCGGGTGGCTCAGTGGTAAAGATTCTGCCTGCAATGCAGGAGACCTGAGTTCGATCTCTAGGTTGGGAAGATCCCCTGGAGGAGGGAATGGCTACCCATTTCAGTATTTTTGCCTGGGAAATCCCATGGACAGAGGAACCTGGCGGGCTACAGTCCACAGGGTCGCAGAGAGTTGAACACACCTGAAGTGACTAAGCAGCCGGAAGAATTTTGGACTGCCCAGTTGGCGCTAGTGAAGAATCCGCCTGCCAACGCAGAAGGTACAAGAGATGCAAGTTTGATACCTGGATCGGGAGGATCCCCTGGCGAAGGAAATGATAACCCACTCCAGTATTCTAGCCTGGAGAATCCCATGGACAGTGAGGACTAGTGAGCTACAGTCCATAGGGTCACAAAGAGTCAGACAGAACCGAAGTGGCTTGGCACACATGCACGCACACAGGCAGAGTTTCAAGGTGACTCCCAATGCTCCTTGCCCTGGTATCATCCCATCCTGTTGAATGTGGGCAGAAGTGGTGATTCTGTTATGTCAAATGGCAAAAAGGAGATAATTCAAGTGAGACCTGAGTCCTCTGAAAGCAGAAAGTTTTCTCCAGCTGGTTGTAGAGGAAGAAATCAGAGAGATTCATTTATGCTAACCTGGAAAAAGCAGGAATAATCATGTTGTAAATTGTCCATGAGGGACCACGTGGGAATGAACAGCAGGCAGCCTCCAAGAGCTGAGAGCGGTCCCTGACCAATAGCCAGTGAGAAAACAGGGACCTCAGTCACACAGTCTGAAGGAGCCGGATTCTGTCAAAGCCTGAATGAGCTAGAAAGCAGATTTTTCCTCAACACCCCCAGACAGGAAGTTGGCCCAGATGACAGCCTGATTTTAGTGAGTGATTGTGAGTGATTAATTGGAGAATCGAGCCTGGACTTATTACCTACGGAATTATGACTTGTTTTAGGCCACTATGTTTCTGGTAATTTGTTATATTGCCATAGAAAAGTAGGCACTAGCCCAGTGCCTGATACATAATAAAATATTGACTGGTTAGTTATTGGGTGAAATGGTTTGAATTAATGAATGAGGTTATGGAAGGAAGGGAGGAAGGAAAGAGAAAGAAATAGAATAATTGGAAAAAAGGTTGGCATTATGGTCCATTCAAGGACAAATCAATTTTCAGAGAATGAATAAAGGAAAGAATAAAGAAAGAAAAATCAGTCTATAAAATGATTGATGGGCTTTTCTGAGCTGAACAAGTGTGGCAGACATACTATGTCTGTTTATATTAGTTTTTTCTTTTTTTTTTTTTCTGTTCACGTTTCTAACTCCCACTCCATTTCTCATTCCTAATCTACCCCTGACCATTTTGTTATCCCTACCCTGACCTGATCCCAACTTGTCTGGTAAGAAAGAAAAACAGCATTGACAACTGTTCGCTGGTAGCTGGCTTTATTGCTACCAGCTAAGCCAGGGTGTTTTCTTGTTTATATAAGCAGCTTCCTCGGAGAAGGCAAGGCAACCCACTCCAGTACTCTTGCCTGGAAAATCCTATGGACGGAGGAGCCTGGTAGGCTGCAGTCCATGGGATCACGCAGAGTCAGACACAACTGAGCGACTTCACTTTTACTTTTCACTTTCATGCTTTGGAGAAGGAAATGGCAACCCACTCTATTGTTCTTACCTGGAGAATCCCAGGGATGGCAGAGCCTGGTGGACTGCCGTCTATGGGGTCGCACAGAGTCGGACACAACTGAAGCAACTTAGCAGCAGCAGCAGCAACATAAACAGCTTCCCCTAATATTGTCATCATGTGAGGATGCCATGGTTATGAACAAGATGAAAAACACGACCACTCCGTAAACAAGCCTGAACACCATGCAACCACAAAATTACCAAACACCTCCTTCTCCCAGAAAGAACAAATGACAACTGCTTCTTTCCCAATGACAGTGCCCGCCCTATAGATTTAACCGTCTAAATACTCCTTAGAACTTAATAAGCTGAACTACCATTATCCACTGCTTTGGTTCACAATTCATCCTAACTGGTTTTCCTGATTCTGTGTCTTTCCATCTATTCTTTACCCTTAAGTTATAATACTCTCCTCATATATCTGATCCATATTATTCTCCTGTGTACAATGCTTCAATGGCTTCTCATTGCTTAGAAGATAATGACCTAAATCCCTAAAATGGCCCTCAAGGCCCTCTTTATGTCTGCCTCAGCCCCCTCACTATCTGTACTATAGGCATAAGGGTCTTCTTTCATTTTCTAGACCTACCATGGATATTGCATCTTGCCTCAGGACATTTGCACGTATGGTGTCTCTTCTAGAACACAATATCACCCCACCACAATGCAGAAAGTTAATTTCTGCTTCTCCTTCAGAGTTCAGTTCAAACGTCATTTTTTCAGAGAAGTTCTAGATCCATTCCACCACCACGTCTAATCCTTCTCTTATACAACACCTCTTCTTCTAGCACCACGTACCTTCATTCCACAGCATTTTAACTGCTTTTAATCATATATTTATTTGCATGTTATTTGGTTAATTATTTCCCTCTTCTGTACTAGACATACGTCTAGTAAAGGGCATCACTGTCCAAAGGGCAGTACTGATGTTTTTACTCATCAGTGTAACGCTATTGGCCAGCATAGTGCCTAGCACATAGTGAACACTCAATAAATATTTGCAGAATGATTGAATCCAGACTTCCTGAATATCCTTACCCTGCCCATCTAGAAAGACAACTTTTACTCTGGTCTGTATGCACTCATTAGATGCATACATTAGGAAGACTGACATCCCCAACCTTGGCAAGAGACAACTCAATTCATGTTTGGACAATGGATAGTAAGAAAAGTCTTTCTGCATTTTAAGGATGCCTGTTTCTTGCATCCCAAAGTTTCCTTTTCCCTGTTGATAGCTCTTTGGTCTGAGTTGTATTATATGTCCCTATAAACTCTCCTGAAACTCTCACTCCCTCTGCTAGAAGTGGCTTGGTACAAAAATCTCTTGAGAACTAGAGACTAATTTATTATTGTATCACCAGTAACCTCTAGGGGGCACCAGAAACAACAGCTATTTCAGCAAAGGCACTCCAAAGGAATTTGTTCAGTGTTCTCCAAAATAGCAAAAAGGAAGCAAGCTTATGTAACACCATATGCTACAGGGTTGTATTTATAAACATCCCTTTGCTGTATCCTGAGACAAGCCATGAATCTACTCTCCCTGCTGGCTCACCTTTCTCTGACTGCTTCCCAAATTCTTTCCCTGCACCATCCATTACCATAGAGGACAATGAATGAGCATCTTGCCTGATGTGGGGTCAAGCTTAAAATGGCTCACTGCAAGCAGCAACTTTCTTGGCAAGACGTGTATTTTATCGTAGAAACCTCATGCAAGTGCTTTGTTTTATTCCATTAGATATTGCAGTATACTTTCATTTTAAAATGTTTTGCCCACAACACTTGGACTAAAGGTGATATTCTCAAATCCCATGTCTACTATATACTCTTGCATAATCCTTGACACAACTCTTTACCAAGCTGATATGTATATACACACACACCAATTTTGCAATGGGACTGTGGAGTTATGATTTATATTTATACTTAAACATTAATAATATCATATACAAAAAGATGTAAATAACATACAGATATCAGTTTTACAAAGCCATCCCTCCAGCTTAAGAAAGAAAATATTATCTGTAACTTTGAAGCCCCATGTTATTCCCTCCTAAATTTACCTTCCCTTCCACCTCTTCAAAGAGGTATAAAGTTCACTTCTTCAATTTTGTATTGTTTCCTATTTTCTAAGGTTTAATACTACACGTATATCACTCAACAACATATTGTTTTGTTTGCTCTGTTTTTTAACTTTATGTAAGGGACTCATCCTGTCCATTTTCTTCTGTGATTTGCTTTTTCACTAATCAGTGTGTTTTTGAAATTCATCTGTGTTGATATATATAGCTGTCGTGCATTTCTCTGAGAGCCTATTATTTTTTCCAAGCAGTGTCTCAAGTCAGAATTTCTCTTCTAACTTTTTGCCAGAGGGCATAGGGACAATCTGAAAACTGAGAAATGTGCACAGCCACGAGTATCCATTCTTTCCACAGGGGAAATATGAAAACCGCCTCTAATTATCACCTCAGGTTACTTACATTTTCTGACTCAGGGGTAATTTGCATTTTACAATTCTTCTTTTAATTTAAGACACAGATAGATAACAGCAAGGACCCCCTTCCAGGCTCATAAAATTCTTTAGAATGACACATTTGCTGTCTTTCACTTCCAAACTATTTTAGTTTGTAAATGTATTTCCCAAATGATAAACACCTATTATAATTTAGTTATTGAAATACAAATAGTATCCTCTAAAGGACTTCTTGATTATTTTTTCAACTTGCCTGTTTTAGAACTCTAATGACAATTTCAATTTGTTATTGCCAAAGTTACCTCTCAGGGTTGTACTTTGGGAAGGAAATTTTACCCACAAAATAGCTTTTAAAAAATAACCCATAAATTCTAAATGAAAATGCAAACAAAAAAAACTATAGTTGGTGAACCAAGCATGTATTGTTCTTTAGATGTTTACTGAGCATCTGCTAAGTGTACTGATTGAGGATTTAGGTTGACTCAGGGATGCATAGAACAGGATATCCTCATAGGAGGGGTTCACATGCTCAGAATAGAGACACCCACTTGTGTGGCTGTAATACAGGACAGGGAGTTGAAAGAACTGCAAACAGAGGATAGGAATTAAAGAGGAAAATACTTTCCAGCCAAGGAGTCAGAGAAGGCTTTAAAGAAAAGTTGATATTTGAACTTTCTAAGTTTAGAAGGATTTTAATGGCCTGGAGGAACGGAAGTGACAAAGGATATTAAGGTTAAAACATAAGCACAAAAGTGCAGAGATAAGAAGGGGCAAAAAGCTCAGGAAGCTGTGAGTAGTCTCATTTGACTGTAGTAGGTCATTCAGAGGACACTCAAGGAAGTGTTCCTATTTTTCTCTTTTTTTAATTTAAAAAAAATTAAAAATTTAAAAAATCATTTGGCCATGTTGCATGGCATGCAGGATCTTAGTTCCCCGACCAGGGATCGAACCGCACCCCCTACACTGGCAGCACAGCTTTCACCACTGGACCTCCAGGGAAATTCCAAGTAATTCCTATTTTTAAATAATTTTTATAATATTTCTCTGAACAGAGGATAGGAATTAAAGAAAAAAATTTCCTTGGGTCTTACTGGGTCAGTTCTGCTTTTACCTAATGCCCAGTAGTCTGTATTGACATAACAGATACACACACACACACACACACACAGAGTATTCAGTAGTTTGACTGGAAGTATAGATGTGGAGAAATATCCTGGTAACTTAGATGGTTAAGAATCTGCCTGCAGTGTAAAGTCCCGGGTTCGATCCCTGGGTCGGGAAGATCCCCTGGAGGAGGAAATGGCAACCCACTCCAGTACTCTTGCCTGGAGAATTCCATGGACAGAGAAGCCTGGTGGGCTACAGTTCATGCAGTTGCAAGAGTCAGACAGGACTGAGTGACTAACACAATCTATAGACACGGAGATTATGTCATGCATCCCATAGCAACCTTTACCATGTATTTTCTTTCCTCCCCAGAAGTTCCCTCTGCCATTTAGCTGCACACTTCTGTATTTCTCTGTACCAGAACATACTTCTTCTTCCCTCTCCCAGCCTCTTGCGGGTAATCATTCCTCTAGCCTTCAACCCTTAACTAGATGTTTCCTTCCAAAGTTCTCCCTCCCCTTTCATTATGAAGACTCACTAGCCGTATAGTGCAGAGAGCTCAGCTCGGTGCTCTGTGATGACCCAGAAGGATGGGATGGGTTGTGGGGTGGGTGGGAGGGAGCCTCAAGAGGGAGGGGACGTATGTATGCATATAGCTGATTCATGTTGTTGTACATCACAAACTAACACAACATTGCAAAGCAGTTATACTCCAATTAAAAACAGACCCATGTGGCTTTCATTGTCTCCAATTTTTCTTCCCAACTAGCAGCAAAGAAGGCCTCAGAGCTTCAGAAAAAGAATAGGAAGATGAGTCAAAAAAAGAGGAGGAGGAGATGGAGACGGAAGAGAAAGGTAAGGATGGAAAAGAATGAAAGAAAAAGAGAGGGAGGAAAGGTAAATAATTTCTTCGCTAGAAAGATGATAAAACAAGGTTACAGAAACTTATACTTCAAATTTTCTGTGAACAGTCACAAAACTTGGCTTCATCTTCAGCATTCAGACAGTGTGGATGAATTGTAGGCCATCCGGGTCCTCCATGTATTCAAGAGCACTGGGTGTGTGGTTAGTTGCTCAGTCATGTCCAACTCTTTGCGAGCCCATGGACTGTAGCCCGCCAGGCTCTTCTGTCCATGGGGATTCTCCATGCCAGAACACTGGAGTGGGTTGCCATGCCCTCCTCCAGGGGATCTTCCCAACCCAGGGATCAAACCCAGGTCTCTGGCATTGAGGGGGATTCTTTACCGTCTAAGCCACCAGGGAAGCCCTTCAAGAGCGCTGGTTGATATTAAAACTTGGGCATTGATATCAAGCTATATCATCTTGTAAAATCCTGCCCTAATGGTCTCTCCCATTATTCCAGTTTGTCTATGCTTAATTCCTACCTCTCTATTTGCAAGAGCTGTTGTCGCCCATTCCTTTCTACCATATACATCGCTTCTTGTTGATTTTTCCCATGGGTGGCATAGTCAGGCAGACCATGTTTTGAATATTCATGGCTCAACCTGTGCAATGAAAACAGAGAACAAGGGAAACAGCTGTCAAGAACTCTACAAAATTCTGTTTCTTGGATTAAGACCATAGGACGCACCTGCAGATAAATGTTATTACATCTTTTTTTTCCTTTGCGTACACCTATTAAGCAAAGAGATATTGTACTCATTGATTCCACAAACCCTGTTAATAACCGACTGCATCAGGTGCATGCAAGTAGAAGGTAGTTAAGCGCAACCTGCTCCTGCCAAGAACAGTCCCCTGGAGCCTCCCCTGCCTAATCGTTTACTCCGACAAACACACTAGACAAGAAACTCAGTGCAGAACTAATGTAAAACCCAGGGGGCAGAAAGTAATAGGAAACTCAACTACTTAAGCTTCCTGGATCTCGGGAGAAAATCACTTCTAAACAATTACAGTATATTTTGTTAGCATCATCTCCTCCAAGCCAAGAAACAGAATCGTTTTTGATTAATAAGCAAAAGAGAAAGCAGATACAGTAAAATTAAAATAGCAAAGCTCGCATCATATGTGTTGATTAAAGAATGGTCTATTTTTTTCCAAGATCAGCTTACTAAAGATTTTCTAAATTGAAAGGCAGTGCTTCATATAAAATCAAATATTAGCTTCAATGGAGCCTTATCATTATTGGTTATCATCACTGTTTCAAAATATGCACCATCCAGCTGCTAAGCCTAAAAAGGCATTCACTGGCATAAGTTGACGTATTACAAATATCAGAGACATTTGGGAAACTTGGGAATCACCAATCAGCAGATTGTTTTCATTTTTATGACTTATGAGGTATGTGTATGTTTGTGTTTCTGTGTGCATGGATACTAGTGAACTATCCTAAGAAAAGAGGTTTTAGCTGTTGCAAAATCTGAGGGAAGTAGGATATTTATGGAAATTGTTAAATAAAAATCCACTTTATCACTGAATACACATTTTCTTAATATGAGAGCCTGGGTGATACAGAAAAAACACCCGACTTGGAGTCAGACAGAACAAGCTCTGTCACTCACCAGCTGAATGATCTAGACTGGGTAAACACCTTCTTTCTGTAATATGGAGATAGTCCTTTCTACATCATGCTGAAACTGAAAGGTTTAAAAGAAGAGTTGCCAGTTGAAAAATGTCTGTTCCCCCTTCCCCTCTCTTGCCTATCCTTGACAATTAGCATCTTCTAAACATGTGCATTTTCTTGATGAAGCGTGAAAAATTTGTCTCTAGAATGGGACTAATCTCTGAATAACGTGAGAAGATGCTCAGACAAGCAAAGGAGCTTTTAGTACAAGAATTTGGATTTGTTGGCTCATTGGTTGATTGGTTTGATGTCGGGGCAAAGGAGAGAGCTTACAGGCTGGTATGATTTTTATTCTACCAAGAGAAAAACAGAAAATCCTTTATCTTCCTTTCTCTTTCAGGAATCAAGCTTAGGTCTAACATTCAATTATATTTAAAAGAATGGAACACCCAGAGTATGGGACAAAGACAGTACATGACAACACTAAGGTTTTCACCTTTGTTTTGAATCCTCTGTTTAAGCAACAGATTGGCCACAGGGATACACAGGATATATGTAGGCTAGAAAAGTCAAATTATTCTTTCATATTTCAGGTAAAGTGCTAGTCACTCTGTCGTGCCTGACTCTTTGCGACCCCCATGGACTGTAGCCTGCCAGGCTACTCAGTTCATAGAATTCTCCAGGCAAGAATACTGGAGTGAGTAGCATTCCCTTCTCCAGGGGATCTTCGCAACCCAGGGATCGAACCCAGGACTCTCGCACTGCAGGCAGATTCTTTACCATGTGAGCCACCAGGGAAGCCCATATTTCAGATAAACAAACTGCCTGTTTCAGGTAAACACTATGGAACTGAATTCTGTGAGTTCTTTTAGGCAACGTATTAGAAAGTAAATAAGTACTTGATCACTACCTCTTTATGTCTTTTATCATTTTATTTCCCCCAGTACTTCCAAAGTATTAGATGCAATATGACACTCCCCATTTTTTGAGATCATAAAGATTGGACTATCCTAAATTTTTGTTCCATTCTCCACTAGGACATTTCATCAAAACATAAACACTGTAATAATAAGACTTCCACAGGGACAAGTCCTTCATTGTTTCAATAGATCACATTTGATGGAGAATATCAGGCCTTTGGCACTGATCTTGTTCCAACTTCAGCCTTAAATGTTGACACATATAATCTTAGATACATCCTTTCACATTTCAAATAATTAACTTTACTCCTCTTTGCCTGACTCATGATAAGCTAAGTGCTTTTATCCATTTTTTAAATTGTGGTATAATATACATACCATAAAATTGTTATGAGCTTGAGCAACGCATTTAACCTCTCCTATTTCCCAGATTTTCTCATTATTTAGATTCCAAACTCTGCCACCTATGCCCTAAATTCTTGCATGGAGATATGGACTAATCAGGAATTCAGCTGACCCTACAATTCTATAGCCCTTTTGGACCTATGTGTGTGCTCAATCATGTCCGACTCGTTGCGACCCCTTGGACTGTAGCCCACCAGCCTCCTCTGTCCGTGGAACTTTCCAGGCAAGAACTGGAAATTCTCCAGGGAATTTCGTCTTTAGAGTTACAAAAACCTTCTAAGACTTACCTTTGGTGGACATGTTATATAAGTATCTAGAGACAGCATGTTATGGGTTAATGAATTCTTCCATCACCATAGAGTGCAGACGACCAGCACATCAGCCATGATATGGAGGGAACTCTCACTGCCGTTATCCTGCCCCATCACTATAACCAGTTCCACGTGTTTTTCAGTTTCTGTCAGCCTCCATTACATACAGTCTTACTCCTGAATCCAGTTAATACTCATATTTTGGTTTCAAGGATGGTAGAGTCAGTTCACTTCATATTTGATGGGATCCAGCAGCCAGACAGGGCTCCCCTAGTGGATCAGACAGTAAAGTGTCTGCCTGCATTGTGGGAGTCCTGGGTTCGATCCCTAGGTCAGGAAGATCCCCTGGAGAAGGAAATGACAACCCACTCCATTTCTCTTGCCTGGAAAATTCCATGGATGGAGTAGCCTGGTAGGCTCCATGGGATCACAAAGAGTCAGACACAACTGAGCAACTTCACTGGTACCGTTAGGAGTCAGACAACCAATCTTCCTTCATGAGAGGACAGGAAACTTGGGCAAGTTGACTCAAAGAGGCAGATGGGTTTCCTAGGGCCACCAGAGCAAAGTATCACAAACTTAGAGGCTTAAAGCAACAGAAATGTATCATCTAATGGTTCTGGAGACTTGAAGTCAGAAATCAAGGTGCCTTAAACCTGTAAGGGAGAACCCTTCCTTGCCTTTTCCCAGCTCCTGGGTATTCACTGGCCATTCCTTGCATACCTTGGCTTGTGGCTGCAGCATTTCAGTTTCTGCCTCCATCTTCATATGGCGTTCTTCTCTTCCTTCCCTGCCTTCATAAAGCGTTCTTCTCTTCCTATGAGGACAGCAGTCACATGAAATTAGGGCCCACCCTAACAACCTGATCTTAACTTGATGACATCAGCAAAGACCCTTTTTCCAATAAGGTCCCAATCGCAGGAACCAGGTGATTGGACTTCAACTTTTGTTTTGGCCCAACCATACTGGAGTGGGTATCCTATCCCTTCTCCAGCAGATCTACCCAACCCAGGAATTGAATCAGGACCTCCTGCATTGCAGGAGGATTCTTGACCAACTGAGCTATCATGGACGCCCGTTTGTTTTGAGAAGAACACAATTCAACTCATAACAGAGTCTCACCTGGAAGACTGTGGAGAACCAGCTCTAGCGACTAGCTTACCTTGCTGCCATCTCAGGGAACATGACTTTACGGATCCTTCTAGCAGTTTCCCCCTATTGACATCTTTCAGCTTCTTCTCACCTTTTTAATAATTTTGTTCCACCTACCAACTGCTTAGCTTTCCCTGAAGCTCACATTCAAAATCAATCAGAGTATATGATTATTCTAATGAGTTACCTGCTCTTCTCTTGTGCAAAATTCTCAATTCTAATCACCACTCAGGCCTTTGACAAGTCCATTCTTTGCAGAAAGCTGGGGAGGGAGCCTGTCCACCCTTTATCTCATCTGTGGCCAAGGGAACAGTGTTGTGAGATGTCACTATAGCCCTTTAAACTTATACAATCATCTAGGGCTACTTTGCACGGCAGAGGATCTGGTGCAGGAAGTGATTGACTGTCCAGGACATAAAGAAAGCCTATAAATATAGAATAGAATTATTAAACATAGACATCTATCTATGCCTAATACTCTAAGAATGTAAGTTATGAAGTTTAAAGAATTCACCACATACACCATAAATCTACCTCACCACTGAGATGTATTGTGATATAAATTTAATATACAGTGCAGTGATTCATAACTATCTGTATGTTAATGCTGCTTAGGGAATCATAATTTTTAATTACCTGGATTTTACACATTTAAATTTGCATATATATTGTTCTATTATTTCAGCTTTAAAGACTATATATGTACTGTATGTATATGTGAAACATTATAATGTGTATGTGTATAATTATAATTGAACTCAAGGGATCCCCATAATGATTCAATAACAGAGAGGGAAAAAAAATCAAAGCCAAAAGTGATAAATCCATTTTAATTACATGTTTAATAGCTCGTGGCTGCAGCTTTTTTATTCTCATTCATTCATATGTACCTTTTTTATTTTGCATTGATTTTAAAGATATTTCTTGGATGTTTTATAACTATGACCCCATGTAAATCAGCTCAGTTGAAAATTTTACATATTCAAATTAAAGGGAAAAGATATGAGATGTTCATTTATGTTACTGAAAAGTAATTGTTACATATTCACCATAGTTATGTTCAAAATAAGCAATTGCACGGACTCTGTGATTAAATGACTGTAACTTAAATGCTATGTTTAAAGTCATGAAAATGATAAGTTGTTATATAGACTCAATGTTTTTGAGAAGAAAATATTTAATTCATAATGGACTCTTTAGTCTACCAATTTGAAATACTATAATCAGAATGTGATTTATTGTATTTCCCAAAGCATGAATCAGATATCGTGATTGCCTGACAATGTCTTGGTCTTCGTTATCAGTATATTTTCTGGTTTTGTTTTACTGCATTTGAAATATATGAGGATTTGATTTTAATAGGAGCATGAGCCTCAATCCTCATTTGGCTAAAGCTGAATATGATACTAGAACTTATGCAATATGTCTTTCTTATCCGCACTGGAAACTCAGCACCCAGAAATCGCAGTGGTGCATTGGAGAGCAGCAAATGGAGAATAATGTTACTGCTTGTTTTTGCTTGAGTATGGTGTAGTCTCCGTTTATACACGGCATGAGAGAGCCATCTACAGAAAGTTAAGAAAAGAACCGTCTTGTGCAATAAGACCAGAAAGTCCGAGGATGTCTGTTAGAGATATTACTTAATGATGACATGTGAAACATTCTGCTGTCACCCAGAAGACACAAAATTGGAGCCCAGAATGGGCTCAGGTGATATTATGTTGATGTTGGAAGGATTTAAAACCACCTTGTCATGGTAATACAGGCCAACATCCCTGCTGGCCTAAGGTCCAGAAAGATCTGATGACAGGCAAGGGAAGGCAGGCGTCACCAAGAGTCTGGGATGCTAAAATCAGGAAGCAAATCACCAACCTGACACAGGAAGCCCTGAGCCAGCATGTAAAGGACTGTTTAAGACTCCATCTGAGCTTTGAGGCAGGATCCTTCCAAGATGAGGAAACCCAACATTTTGAGGCTGTGACGCTTTGTTTTGGTGGGAACATGAACACAACTTCCTCAGAATTCTGCTAGCTTCTCTGTGATTTTTGTTACCTGTAGTCAGCAGCTTTCTCCTGGTTCCCTGAGACATTCATAGGGTCTTGGAGAAGTGACTTCTGTGATTACATTTGCTTTACTAGTTATTTTTATCACTGGCTGTTTATCTTTTACACCAACTAGACTGAAAACTCCTTGAAGGGAAGGGCTTTTCTATTCGGTGTTTTTGTTTGGTTTGGTTGTTAGCCTGTTTGTTCATTTATTCGGTTGGTTGGTTGATCATTCAGTTACGGGTTTGCTCAGGGCTTATAATGGGGGTTCAATAAACTTTGAATAAATCCTTGCAGCACAGGATGGAGTGCTGTGTTAAACACCCTATTATGTTTAATCTAGAGTGATCCAGAACCTAGACAATTTGTCAGGGCAGCTATCATAGCAGTTCCAGAAAAACTAAAAGCTAAACACAAATAATGTTTGCTCTGTAAATGCATCTTCAAGTCCCCTAGTTCTGCTTCCCACAAGATTTTACCTCTCTGCCCCTTCTATATAGAAACTCTAGAGGGCTGAAGTAATCAGAATGATGCTTTTATTATAAGTGAGAGTGAACACTTACTGAGGTTTATGTGCTTAAGGTAGCAACTATTATTAACATTTGTTTATTCTACAGATTCACTTGAAAAGTATCATTTGATGTAGATTATGCACTTCTCAATGTTATTTACCTTGTTTTGATCATTGTTTTATGGTTATACAAGAGGCTAACATTTAAAGATCCTTGGTGAAGGTGAGGTGGAACTCCACCACTTTCGTAACTTTTTTGTAAGTCTGGAAATTTTCCAAAATTAAAAGTTTTTGAAGTATTATTTGGCCACTCTCTATCACCTATGTGTGTTCTAAGTCTTGGGGATACAGTAGTAAAAAGAACAAAGTCCTTGTTCATGAATTTGGAAACTGAAACAGAGAAGTTACTCCAGAGCCCACAGACACAGTCATTAAACTATAGTATATTCACAATACCATAAAGGAAAAATTAAGTATGCTTGTGCAGGAAAATTAAATTGTGCAAATAGAATTCAAGAAACAACTGGTATAGATAGACGTTACGGTTCATTTATAAACATAATGAGACCATATTGGCATGAAAATGATTGTGCTAAGATCAAATATCATTTTAAGCTCTCTCCTAATTTACAATATTGAAAAATTTTTATTTTGAAAATTTTTAATCATATATGAAACTTGAAAGAATAGTGTAATGAACTCTTATAAACCCCAATTTCTTTTCAATAATTTTGCCAAATCTATGCACCATATTTTAATCATATGAAAGTGTGTCACAGACATTTTAAACTTCGTGCATCTGCAAAAAATAAATCTGTTCTCCTATATAACCACAGTTTCCTTATCACAACTGAGAAAATTATTTAATTAAATTAATTTCAACTGTTACACAGTGTATATGAATATCCCATTTATGCTCGAGTTTCCTCCCAGTTTTTCCCAAAATGTCCTTAATAACTATTAAGAGTTTTTGTTTTTTGTTTTTTAAAAACAGGGATCCAGTCAAGGCTCTGACATTGTATTTTGTTGCCAACTCTCTCGAATCTCTTTTAATCTAGGACAGTCCCATCATCTTTCCCCACAAGGCATTAACCTACAGAAGTTCAGGCTGGCTCTATTGCAGACACCCCCAGGTCCTGAATTTGTTTGGGTGTTTCTCACAACATTGTTTAACTTGTTACTCTCTTCCATATAGTTCCTCTAAAGTGGAAATCAGGCTGAAAGTTTTGAACAGATTCAGGCTTAACATTTTGGCCAGAAATACTCCATCATTGATTTTGGAAATGTCTGATCGAGCCTCATGAGAAGGTACATGATATCATGTTGTCTCACTCCGTTGTTTAGTTGCTAAACCATAACTGACTCTTGCAACCACATGGACTGTAGCCCGACAGGCTCTTCTTTTTTTTTTTTTTTTTTTTTTTTTTTTTTTTTTTTTTTTTTTTTTTTTTTTTTTTTTTTTTTTTTTTTTTTTTTTTTTTTTTTTTTTTTTTTTTTTTTTTTTTTTTTTTTTTTTTTTTTTTTTTTTTTTTTTTTTTTTTTTTTTTTTTTTTTTTTTTTTTTTTTTTTTTTTTTTTTTTTTTTTTTTTTTTTTTTTTTTTTTTTTTTTTTTTTTTTTTTTTTTTTTTTTTTTTTTTTTTTTTTTTTTTTTTTTTTTTTTTTTTTTTTTTTTTTTTTTTTTTTTTTTTTTNAAGAATGGATGCTTTTGAACTGTGGTGTTGGAGAAGACTCTTGAGAGTCCCTTGGACTGCAAGAAGATTCAACCAGTCCATCCTAAAGGAGATCAGTCCTGGATGTTCATTGGAAGGACTGATGCTGAAGCTGAAACTCCAATACTTTGGCCACCTGATGCAAAGACCTGACTCATCTGAAAAGACCCTGATGCTGGGAAAGATTGGGGGCAGGAGGAGAAGAGGACAACACAGGATGCGATGGTTGGATGGCATCACCAACTCAATGGACATGGGTTTGGGTGGACTCCGGGAGTTGGTGATGGACAGGGAGGCCTGGCATGTTGCGGTTCATGGGGTCGCAAAGAGTCAGACAAGACTGAATGACTGAACTGAACTGAACTGAACATCTTAACATCTTGAATCCTACCCATCTCCTCACCACATTGCACCTCAAACTCAGCATGTCCAACACTGAACTCATGTCTTTTCCTCTAAAACCTGCTCCATCTTCTAGGTAAATAGAAACCCCTCCATCAAGTTGTCAGGCCTAGAAAATCGTATGTCTGTCTGGATCCTTCATGTTCCATACAAACCAGACATCCTTGTGTTTTTCTTTTCCAGTCCTACTCTACTGCCTGGCTGACTCTTCATCCTCTCTTACCTGAACTATTTCAATCATTCTTTTTTGTTTTGGCTGCTCTGCAGGGCATCTAAAATCTTAGTTCCCCGACCAGGAATCAAACCTGTGCCCCTTGCAGTGGAAGTGCAGAATCCTAACCATTGGACTGCCAGGGAAGTCCCTCAGTCATCTCTTTTCTGGACTTTGGGGCTTTTGCTCTTCATGTTGCTGCAGAATAACCTTTCACTTATGTCTGATAATATACTCTCCACTTGAAACAACTCTCAAATATGGCATCAAATTATGTTCAAAAACAAATAAAACTAATGCACTGCTTTAAAATTCAGGTTGGTGGTTACCTTTGCAGAGAAAGCCTTGGGTAATGACTGTTAGGAGGTGGGAGGGGTGCATACTGCCAATATGTATTATTTTGTGATCCCGGTAGAGGTTCCATGAGTATGATAGATGTATGAAAATTCATTGAGCTGTACAAGTATATGGGGTCACTTTTCTGTATAGATTTTCTTTCAATTAAAAGTTAATTAAATTAAAACATAATTAACTAGTCAGTTACTTT